ACTACCCGAAGGTCTCTGGGCGGCTTACAGCATTTAAAATACAATAAAGAGGCAAAATAAACGGGCAAAATTATTAAAATGCAATTAAAATATATATTCTAAAAATTGGCATCAGACCTACAGTGATCACCCTATGGGAAATAACTCTTCCGCTCTGGCTTGTGTTTTAAATGCACACGCATCAAACGAACACGAGTGGATTAAAATACTGTAAGCGCGCTGAAGGGTTGGTTCAAAAGGCTTTGCAGATCCTTCCTTGCCCTCTGCACCTTTAACATTTGTGCAAAGGACTGTTTTTCATCACTCCCCCCCCCATCTCACAGCAGAATTTCAGATGGGGCACAGAAGTTGGATGTTTTTTCACCTCCCTTCGCCTTCCCACCGTTGGAAAGGGTGCCTACCTTCGAGGCCGCAGGAAAAGAAGGGAAATTCAATCCGATGTGTTTTTGCTCAAATAGGGTGGGGTTGGAAAGGGCCAGATCCAGGCTCAGCCATACCTAAGAGGCACAGGCCCAGCAGATCCAGGCTCAGCCATACTTAAGAGGCACGGGAATCTGTCATACTTGTCAACCAGGACTAAGGCCCCAGCAGTTCACAGGGGCTTGAAGGTTGGAGTCTCAAGAGTCACATTTCACTGTGCAGTATTTTCCATTGAAATCCGTTTAGTTCCGAACAGATATGTTCTGCAATGCACAGGAAAAGCACAAAATGCATGGAAAAAACAAACTAGAAAACATTCCAGAGTCGTCTTCTTCCCAGGTCCTTCTCCATCCTCAGAAACTTGGTTTGGTGTTAGTTGGCACTGACCTATTATTGCCCAAAAGGAGGGCACTCTTCAGCCAAAAGGAGGGTGTGGAGAACAAGCAGCACCAAAAAAAGAGGAAGGCATTTTGTATTAAATGTTCGTAGGCTAATTTAAACAAATCTACGCAAGCACCACGGTTAGACATTAGGGAGTTGGGGGGTGTTTCTTCTCTCCCAAAGTCGAGCTTGATGAAGGGTTTTGCATTAATCAAAAGGGAACCTGCTTTGAGATTTTATTAGTCTAAGGAAGGTATTGCCTGAGCAGTGTGGTGTTGGGTGTGGAGTGTTCAGTACAGAGGCTTGGGTTCAAATCATTGCCTGGCCAGAGAAACTCACTTGGGAGTGGGATAGAGCAACTAGTTACGTGTCAAAAAGTAGAGCAGCCCTTGAAATGGGAGGACCACCTTCCCCAAAAGCAGACCTAAGGCCACCCTAAGATTCCAGTGGGGAAAGGACAAGACTTCTCAGTGGCTGCTCAAAGGGTGTGGGAACTCCCTGCTAAGGGAAGTTACATTAAACTGGCCCCCTGCCTGTTGTCCTGGTCAGGGAAGAAATCCCCTCACCCCCCACAAGCTAGAGTAATTCACTGCAACTTCCTTACCAATGGGCTTGTAAATACTGTATATGTTAATACAATTGTGTTTTAACATAATAATTTGTTTAACTCTTTTAGCTTCTCATGGTTCGATCTGCATTGTCTTTTAAATCCTGTTCGACCAGACATGTGTCCGTTTTGAGAGAACAGTGGGAAATCAAGCCAAGACAATCAGAATCAATGAACAAAACAAGAATTATACTTATATGTGCTATTTGGTTATGCATGGAGCTAGTCTTTTTCATCATGTTCCCTTCTGACCAGGGATAGAAAGTTATGGCTATTCTGACTAGGGCACTGACTTGCATTAAACCACTCTCCTAAGGTTCTTCAGTCAACAAGTTACTCTTCCTGCATTTTTCACCCATTTTTAAAATTTAATGATCAGCTGTAACCATCTGTTTATTACTCAGGATGAAACTTCAGACTTTTAGCTTTCTGCCTGTTATTAGTTTTATGTTTTCTTGGTTTTCATTCATTCATCTTAGGACTTCTTCATTGGTAACCCTCCTGGTCCAAGAAATTCTCATCATCCCCTAGCAAGTCCACATTTCTGATGCTTCTTTTTATCTCCATGGTGGCTTGTATTAAAGACCACGATTCATTGCCAACAATAGAACTAGGAATAAACAAACTAATAAGATTTAACATTGCTGCTGAAACTGTCCTTGCTCAGATAGGCTGTTTAACACTGACCATGCTACCACTTTCAGTAGGTCTGGTGCAAAGGAGGGGGAGAATTGATTGATGAATTTGATCATCAATAGCTGGCCCTAACATTTTTTTGTGCTTCTTGGCCAGCAGTTAGTATGTGAATGTGCCTTTTTGGGGGGCATGGATCTGAATTGCAGGCCTGAAAGTGACTAATTCTCATGACCTGACTTATTTCTCCTCTTCCTCCTTGGAAATTGTCTCTTGATTAGTCCGTCCTTTCAAAAAGTTTTGTGATTCGATACTTTCATTTCTCACTATTTTACTTCAATAGTTTTGACACCACCAAGACTGCACTATGGTCGGGACTGGGCATCCCATCAGCTGATGACTTTAGCAGCTCCCCTTCAGATTTTATTCAGCTACATTTCAACTTGCCTTTCTATATATGAGACATTTTAACAATTACAGCAAAACAGAAAGAAAGAAGAGAAGAGAAACAGAACAAACAAAACAATCCGTTCTGAGAGAGGTGCAATAGGAATCCCACCTCTCAAGAACACACTGAAACACAAATGAACTACATTTCACACCACATATGACAAAATGAAGAATTTAGCAACACAAAACTGTTTATTATTTATTAAATGACACAAAATACCTAGATAACAGACTCACTCTTTTTAAAGGACATGTATTTACATTATTTACCAAAGAAGAGGTTCTCTGTGCCCGATCCACTGACTTCTTATGAAACATTTGAATATTTCACTTTTTTTTTTGCATAAAAGGATGCAATGCTGACATGCCCTTTTTGCAGACCTGCGTAAATAGAACATTTCTATACTGTGAACAAGCACAACCTTATACTCTAAAAAGCCCACTGATGAGGCTTCTTAAAAGGAACAGGGTTCTTTGGCCCCATCCCTGCTGCCGTCTGCTCTTCCCACCCCCAAACTCCAAAGGTACTCTTCTGGAGAACGTCTTTATACAAAAAGTATATTACATTTTTGAATGCTGCTGTACTCTTAGAACTTTAAACATTTTTGAAAAAGAAGATGGAGATGCTCTTTCTATTACATGAAGTCACTAAAAATGAAAGTGGTATTTTCAAATGCACAAAACCCAAAAACATTTGTTTTAAAGAGAAAGCGTTGGGACAGATGGTATTCTTAGAAGATAAAGAGACTAGGACACACACAGACACACAGAAACGCGCACACGCGCAAAAACATGAAATGAGCATCTGAAAAAGCAAAAAAGGTAAACCACAGCTAAAGTAAACTTAACCATTTTCTATTTTTTTGTTTTGTTTTAATAAACTATAATACTTTGGCACCTTTGTGTAAGCTAGAGAACAGAAAAATCTTTACAAACAACACATTTGCCATTAGATTTGAAACAGAACGGTTGCTTTCTTAAATTTATTTTAAACCAGCCAAGAAAGAAAATAATCTATTTTTTTTGTTTTAATAAACTATAATACTTTGGCACCTTTGTGTAAGCTAGAGAACAGAAAAATCTTTACAAACAACACATTTGCCATTAGATTTGAAACAGAACGGTTGCTTTCTTAAATTTATTTTAAACCAGCCAAGAAAGAAAATAATAATAGTAATGATTCATTTTGTTGGGTAGAAAGTTTTTTTTCCTTAAAAAACCCAAACCTAAAATATTTATTAGAATAAACTGCAATTTATTATAAATGAATCCGCTATAAACTGCATGCAAGAAAGAGATTTTTAAAAATGTATGGCCAGACATGCTGTGGGGATCAGAGTCCAAGCCCACGGCAAAGAAAAGGTGTTATTTATACATATATAAATTTATTATAAATATATTTATGGCTCAATAAAGCAGGCACATGATTCCAGCAAAAAAACAAAACAAAGACAAAAGGGAAAAACGTTGCTGGACAGTATGGCTGGAAAAGTAGTTTTTGCCGAAGTTCAACACCAATCAGGGTAGAAAGGGACAGCGCTTGTAAAAATGCTTGCTGGGGAAATATAGGAGAGGAAGGGCAACCAACTGCCGTCTGCTTTTTCCAGCATGACCTTGAGCACACTCTGCTCACGTTCTCAATAATGATGTCATTAACACAACCCTCTATGTAAGGGATCCCCAAAAATGCAAGAAAGTGGAAAACAGAAGAATCCAAATGGCCCAGAAGTTTAAAAAAAAAAAGGGGGGGGGCTGATGAATTTAGCTACAGGATCAATATCTCTATTACTCGGAAGTACTGTGGCTTGGTATGAATTAAATCCCATCTTTAAAATTATTCTTACTGCCTCCCTCCGTCTCCCTGCAAAGGACTGAAATTACAAAGCTTGCTACATGGCTCCCGACCACACAAAATTACACAACAACTTATGTTTCCGTTCCTTTCGTATTCAGCTTCTTTTCCATCTACAGTCGCTTTTGTTCCCCCTTCAGAGGAGTTTTTATGTAAATAAAAAAGAACCATCAAGTACACAGGAAAAGAGATGCAAGGGAGACATAAATGCTTTAAAGCAACCTGCAGTGCCTTTCATGCCGGCTGCTTCTCCCTCCCTGCCAAGAGTTCTCAGGCACTCCACTCTCTTGGCCAAGCTCATCCAGGGCTCTGCAAGTGGCAGCTTTTGTGCTTTAGAACTTTACTCCTCTCTTGTTTTGGGAATACTGCTCCAGATGAGCAGGTTAGGGGAAGAGATGGATGACCAGAAGTTCCCATGCAGTGAATGTGGAGAGAAGAAACGAGGGGCCTGAAAGTAAGACCATCACAACATTCTCAGTGATGGGGGTCAATTGTGGATGTCAGCACGGGTTCAAGCAGTAATAACCTCCCTCAGCCTCTCTTAAATAGGACCCTTGGCTGACGTCTGAAAAGTAAAGAACTAATGCAGCTGTTAAAGCAACCTCCTTGGATTAAAATGACATCATTTAATATACCATACAGTGTGCTCTCTGGAGACAAACATGCCTAAGCTTGTTTAAAGACTAGGAGTAAAAACAGAAAAAACAAACAAACAAACCCAACCACCAGGTTGCTCCAGATGACTGAGATCATACATAATCTTTAATGGACCCTGTTGCTACTATTCTAAGCACTCCTATATGTTCCTTGGGTTATGCTTGTTTGGAGGGTCTGATGTGTAGACTGCAGACCTTGCTAACTTGTGGCACCCTGGTGAAAAGAGCTAGGGTGGGCAGCCTGTGACCCTCTAGATAGTGACAGAGGGTCTCTGGCCAAGGGCTGTTGCTGCCTAGGTCTGATGGAAACGGCAAGTCCAACCTTATGGGGACGTCCAGAACTACCCAAGCGTGCTTCAGAGCAAGGTCACTGCTAAGGCAAAGGTGACAGCAAACCTCCTCTATGAGAAGCCCTCTCTATAACCCCTGGTTTAAGCTGAAGCAGTGTCGGACTGTGCAAAAGAAGAAGAAGAAGAAAAGTACAAAACTCATCACTGAAGTTCTTGTAGTGTCTGAGTGGGGAAACAAAAGAAAACGCAGATCAACTCCTATGGTATCCTTCAACTCTGGGTTTCATGTTGACTTAGAATGACCTTCTTTGAGAAAAAAAAAATAAAGGGGGAGGAGTTACTCCCCCGTAGCAGCTTTTACATTAAGAATGTATTTATTTTCAGAAGTTCTTACATTTGATCATGAAGGGAGTTATCAGTAATCTAAACCTCAAAAGTAGCTTCTGCAACACAGATCGAGCCGGTAGCAAATTTATGGCTCAAATCCTGGTGCTTCAAGTAAGCTGTAGCTAGAGTAGGCCCAACTGAATCAGTGGCACTTATGGATGAGTTGACCTACTAAATCCCCACTAATTCAATGGGACTCTGCTAGCTGCGATGGGCCACGCTAAGCACCAGGATTTCACCCAATAAACAGCTTATGTTATCTCACAACCTTGGACGTTGCAACAATTTTCTTTCCAATGGCTGCAGACCAGTTTCGCACTCTCAGTGAACTGTAAGCTGACTACTGTTATCCCGAGGGAAAGCCAAATTCATATAGATGTTGCTGTTTGATATACATACCCAATCATTCTGTACAGGAATTAAGAGTTTTGCATGCAGTTTATGCATTTTTAAAAGGCTGTGTTATTTTAAAAAAGAAAAAGGTTAATTTTACCTTCTCATTGTTCTGAGATGGAAACAAGGGAAGAGAGCTGCTTGCTAAAGAGAGGCTTCTCTTGAGACCTGGGGGACCAAGAGAATCACAAGGACCAGGTACTTCCTTACAGTTTTCTGCACATCATACTGAATATCATGCAAAGAGTTCAACAGCATTCTTCTTAAAAATGTAAATACTACTCTTCAAATGGGCATGTGACAGCCACGGAAAAAGTCCACTCTACTATGTTCCCCCCCTCCCCATTACATTGCTTTCATTTCAGTCATTGGTAGTAGGAAAAAAAGGTTAATTTAATGGGATCAACAGCCTTGTTTACCCACCAGCAACCAAGTAGAACATTGAATGTGCAGAAAAGAAAAACAGAAAAGGCCTGTTGTGTGTTTATGCAATGTAGTTATACTGGTTGGGATTCTCCTTGTCTCTTTCCATGTAGTCTCTGTCAATTAATGATTCTATTCTCTTCTTAAGGTCAGCAGGCTGTAAAGCAATTAAGAAAGTCGGTCACTTTGGCATATATTCAGTAAAGATAATGGCCACAACAACAACAACAACAACAAGCGGGTTGTGGCTGGGCAACTCCAGGCGCAACAGTGAAGGATTAGGATCTTGTCTTAACCCAATTGGTTCAGGTGCATGGAAGTGTTTACAAAAGGAAAGGCATTAAAATTCAGGTACCTTTCCTATTCCCAGCACAGAAGATTTACCAACTTCATTTGCTATGCCCCCAACATGAAAATGTTCATGGCGAAACACAGACAGATGTTTGTCTAGCACACTACATGGAGGAAATGCCTAGCCAGTAAGTAGCACTTAACAGGAAAGTTACTGGCAGGTTAAATCTTCCAAAGTTTTGCTAAGGTAGACCATCAAGTGAAAATGTATTTTGTTTTTGAAAAAGTACTCTGATACAAGACAAGAATATATTGCGGGTAAAATAAGAATAGCGCTAACTCTACCTTGACTGGGAATTTCAGCTGGTTGTACACTTCTGACACAAGCAGATTATGGCTGAGTGTCTTGCGCATTTTCATGATCCTCACAATGGCAGCATCGATTTGGTACTGCCGATCCTGAAAGACTCGTTCCGTAGTACTCGCTTGTTCTTCTACCTGCAGAAACCAGATGTTGAGCTCACATTAGGAACCCAAGTATGGATTAATTTCAATCAGTAGTTGATTTGGCCCATTTGTATATAAAAAGCCTTAGTGATGCATCCTTGCTAGGCCATGGCTCACCATTACAAAGTCCCTGCCATCTAATCCCATTATAAATGTCTCTCCTGGTTTGTGATCTTTGTACGGCTGAGGGGAAAATTCTGGACTTGTTCAGAAGCAACTGCACTGCCTCAAGTATCAACTCTACCTGAAGAGTGTGTTGCTATACTTAGCCATGGTTTTGAACAAGATACTGAAAGAAAAGGAAATAACATGTGGTTCCATGCATACTATATCATATTTTGTACATGTGATATGCCCAGAAGTCTTAACGGTCCAACCCAAGACAGTCTGCATCAGCCACTCACACCCTTCCCCACTCCTGGCATATCCAGTGGTTCCAAAATGGAAAGCAAGAATTAACTTGGTTATCACTGTAATGCTTCTGGATGATTCAAGGTGTTACCAGGTGCCCAGGAAAAGATATGGCAGCAAATCTGAAAGCAAAGCAGATACCGTTTCTTTCATCTGGATCTGATTGATTTTTATCCTGAACAGCTTATGTCTGAAGTCATCATTGCAAGTAAATTTGTCCCCATCTTCCACATCTTTGCCTTTGGGGCTTTTTGTAAGAACTCTTGCCTTGCCACAGGCTAATGACTGGAGCGTCCGCCGCAACTCTCCATCCTCTGCAAACAGAAGAAGGCAGTTTAATATTTTACTTGCTAACAGTTAAAAGCCACAAGCAGCTTCCAATACTCACCTATCCCAGTAGCTTGTTTGATCTCCTCTAAGCTGAATTCTTCACCTTCGTTAAACATAAGCAGCACTAGAGTCTGGAACAAAGAAACCTGCAGTTCTTTTTTGCCCTGTTAGGAAGAAGGGAAAAAGAATAAAATAAACATGTTTACATTTACTTAGAAAACAGGAAACAATGTCTCTCAGTTGTGTTATCTTTGTAGCAAAATGCTAGAAACCAAAATAAAAAATAAGAACTCGGGGAAACTACAGCTAGCAGTTACAGCTGAAACACTCTGATGGCCCCTGTTCCAACCCAGCTACAGCACAGAAAGAGGCAGGCAGTTTACTTGTCTCTGATGACTGGAAGCAGAGGTGTGGACCCTCCAGAGGATGACAACTTCCTCCCAAAATAGAGGAAAGCAGCAATGGCAACTTTATAACTTTTCTTTCTTTTAGAAGTCCAATTCATTGAGAGACTCTCTAGCGAGAGGGTGAAATGACAAGAGAATCCAACTACCCTAGGTGGGTCAACACCTTCGCAATGGAAGACTTGGGGGAACATTCAGTGGTGGTGAATGTTGACATGGAAACCGCCTCCCCCCCCCAATCTGAGCCCAGGAACACCTGCTATTCTGGTTTGCAGAGTAACAACAGGGACCTGTGCAGCAGATGTCATTGCAGCCAACTGAAATCTTAGACCAGCTGTCTGCTGTGCAACAGCAGTCGTAAGCTGACTTGCTATCCTCAATGGCTGGAGTGACCCAGGTGGTGGTACCAGCCTTAGTGATGCATCCTTGCTGGGCCATGCCTCACCATTACAAAGTCCCTGCCATCTAAACCCACTATAAATGCCTCTCCTGGTTTGTGATCGTTGTACAGTAGAAGGGAAAATTCTGGACTTGTTCAGAAGCAATTGCACTGCCTCAAGTATCAGCTCTACCTGAAGAGTGTGTTGCTATACTTATTAAATGGGCAGCACGAAGGACTCTCAAGCTGTCTGAGTGAGCACTCCATAGACGCTTTTGAGATCTTTGACTGAAGCCCTTTTTGCAGGTTAAAGGGCTGCCAACAGGATTTTAGCTAGGGCGCTGATCTAATTTGCAGCACAGGAATAGTGGGGAGATATGCCCCTCACTGCAACTCTGGAATATAACCTGATACTTTAGAATTTCGCATCATATAAATATAATGGCCAACGTATTTTCATATGTATAGCAAAGCCTGGTATAGGGTGTCCCTCTCTGAACCATGGCAAAGCAGCCATTCTCTGAAATACGTAAAGGCATACACTTTTCCAACCTTTAGCCAAGATCCCATAAAACAATAAAATAAAACTCAGGCTTCTTCTTGAAAGAATTCTCCACAACATCATATTTGTTTTAAAAGGTCTACTTTAGTTGGGTTGGACCTATGCTGAGTGCAGGTCCAGGTTGTGGAAAAAGATATTTTTAAATTTGTCAATACCTATTGTCCATTTGTCCATTTTAAGGGCACATGAAAGGTCTTGTTTTCATAGATAGTTGCAAAATGTATCTATGTATTACATAGTTTGCATAGTGCCCCTTACCACAATAGTCCATTGCAATATCTGGGAACTGTGCAACAGTAAGTTAAATAATATACAACACCATACAAACCTATTTATAATCAACAACAAAAAAATTAGTCCCCTGCCACAAGCAAGCCCAACTTTAAATAAAAATAAACAGTTAAACAACTTAAAATCTCATGTCAACATTAATAAAAAGCCACTTTTAAAGGTTCAAATTTTGCCCATTTCTTTAGAAACATAGAGGTTAAACCATTGCTGAAAGTTTGTTTCAAAGAGATGGGGCCACCACTGAGAAAGAATGGTTTATATGCTCATTCTTTTGACCTCCTTGGATGTCAACTATTCTTAACAAGAAGAGCCTTCAAAAAGCAAAAATTTAGTCCCCTGCCACAAGCAAACCCAACTTTATATTCTTAACAAGAAGAGCCTTCAAAAAGCCTTTTTATATTTCAGGTCCACAAAAGGGCTTCTATCAGAAATAAGTATTACCTCTTTAAATTCCGCTTTTAGCACACAGTGTCCCAATGTTGATTGCCATTGAAGTTTCCTGCCACTGTGTTTTCCTAAGTAAAACGTCTTAAATATTTCTTGCAGTTTTACCATCTAGAAAGAACAGAAATACGAGTTTCAATCCATGACAGCCCCCTCCAACTGTCATTCGTTAATCTACACACCAGTCTTCTCTATATTTTAACTGTTTTGAGTTCAAAACTCGCATTAATACTGTGCTTGTATAAGTTTGATTATCCAAGTCTCTTTAAGACTAGCATTTTATAACCAAAGAGACTGAAGAGTGTTTTGTCATTTCTAGTTTAGGACTGCTGCTTTTTCAGAGTGAATCTTAACCATCCTATGACCTTTCACATTATGAATATTAGTCTACTCAATTGTTATTTTATATACTTTAGAAAAGGATAATTGCAGTAAATGTCAACCCTCTCCTATCAACACAGTCTTTAAACATTAAGAAAATGTGTTTTTATGACACTAGAGACAGTGGCTAACATTTACCTTTCTTACTTAATAACTGAATATATTTTTAAAAATCTGATCCAGTAGCATTGCAGATGTTTTCTGCGATTACCGCAAGCTATTTTTTTCCTTTGAATTATTAAAGCAAATTTTAACATGTACACTGCTGTGAACTCTTTCAGCTTGGAAAGGCTGCACAGCTATCTTACCTCTGAGGGCAAGTGGACCTCCATAGGCACGTAGGTTGGCCAATAGCCCATAGTCAAGATATTCACGGTGAGCTCAATGTTACCAGGTACATTCTGATTCTGCATATACTAGAGGTGTAATAAAAACAGAGGGAATGACCAAACAGATGTATAAACACGTTACTTGTTCCCATCTTCCTCCATACTTATATCTTGTCCTCCCCTCCAAAAAGGTTAGAATGATGTGATTCAGATTAAAACGTGCCCTACAACAACCTGGCGAAATAAATTAGAATGACAAGCAGCCACTGGACCAACAGGATGCAGCGTGATTCGTGAGAAAACAGAAATTTGAAGCACCTCCCACTGGCCCAATTTAATTTAGTCATCGAAAAATGAAATGTTATTATAAATTTGCCTTGCAGAATATACAGTAAGTACTTGGAAAGGCCCCTCAGAAATAATGACAAGTTCGTCATCACCTTTTTCTTCTTCCTTTTACAAATCTATTTACAGGATCATTCTAAAACCACAGGGAATCAAGGGGAAAGAAAATAACATGAGCAGATTTGGTTTCCCTACCTGCTTAAACTGTATCATGATGTCTTTAGAAAGCTCCATGTCTTTAAACATTCCTTCAAGTTTGCTGGTGAAAGCAGCTCCACATTCTGTAACAGAACAGTTATATCGTAATTCCTGCTACCTTCATTTTGCTACTACCAGCAGATGATTTATAGTGTGCAATTAACAAGATATCCAATACTTACTACTGAACAAGGGAACGATTATGATTGCAGTGAAATCCTAACTAAAGAGAAAATATCCTGGGCCAAAATTGCTGAAATTTGTTCCTGTCAGGTTATTTCCAGAAGAGTAGCTGCATTAACCAGTGCATCACAAACAATAAAGAATGGCCACAGTTACCCTGAAAGTTTTACATATCTCTTATACACAATGTTTTACACATCTCTTATACACAATGAGCTCCAAGGAGAGAAAAAACAGATGGGTGGAACAATTTCCAGTCATTAGCCCATTTACTCAAAAATGATTCCAACAGAAAGTAAATGGAATTTGTTTCTAAGAATGGTCTTCTTCATTTGTTAGAGGTTTTCTTACTGGCACTTGTTAATGAATCAGCTTCCAAACAAACAATGTTTTACACATCTCTTATACACAATGAGCTCCAAGGAGAGAAAAAACAGATGGGTGGAACAATTTCCAGTCATTAGCCCATTTACTCAAAAATGATTCCAACAGAAAGTAAATGGAATTTGTTTCTAAGAATGGTCTTCTTCATTTGTTAGAGGTTTTCTTACTGGCACTTGTTAATGAATCAGCTTCCAAACAAGTTGACAATAGGGTCTTCATTTGTTAGAGGTTTTCTTACTGCCACTTGTTAATGAATCAGCTTCCAAACAAGTTGACAATACAGTACATGTATAAATTCATATGGAGATCATTTTTGATATACATGGAACACTACAGAATTCACAGATCTATCACTATGTTTACAAACAACACAGCTAAAGATCCTCATTTGGAGCAGAAAGAGAAACGGTGACAGGCTCACAAATCTTGAGAAGGAATTTTTCACTGGAAAACCACTGTGCATAGGGAATCAGAGAGCCCATGAGATAACTCTATCAGGAAGGAATTTTTCACTGGAAAACCACAATCAGAGAGCCCATGAGATAACTCTATCATTTCTGGCCATTTATTATAAGACTGCATATTGAGAAACTGCCATGGAAACATATGCAAACATCAGCATATACAAAATATATATACGAAACTTTAAAAACCAAAGCACTACCATCACCTTGAGAACCAACCCAGAAAGCACCTTACCATGTTTGAGCTTGGAAAGCATGGATTTCTCAGCATCTACTGATGCACTTTTGCCTACTAGTAGCCGCTTTGCTAGATCTTTTTTGTAAAAGGCTTCAAAAACATCTTTTCCTGTAAGACAGAAAGTTTTTTTTTACAGAACTCCAGTGCTAAAGACAAATTTCAAGCTTCTGTTCAAGCACTATGGATGAGTGATGCAGAATTTCATCTTGATACCTCTTAAGGTAAACCATTTAGCCCCTCCAAATCCAGATAGTTACTCTGAGAGATAGTGTGGAAGGCTGCAAAAGGGCTGACTCTCTCCATTTTATTCTTTCCTCAAAGTAGCTGCCCAGGAGATTTACTTGCCAGCCAAAGGCATGATTTGCTGGACATCAGTTTGCAGTCAAACTGTTATTTCAGCACTTATTTATTAATATTTATTTACTTAAAACATTTATACTCTTACTTCTCTTAAAGAGGACCCAAGATAGCTTACAATATTAAAAGCTAAAAAACCAATATATTTTCACTTCAGTGCTAAAGTATTATATGGTGCAGTACTGTGTGGTATAGTATATAAGCTGGAACTGTTTGCGAAGTCTGTGGCAGCTGTTAATTTCTGTTATGTGTGTATCACTTCCGTGCTGAAATATTTTGCTATTAGATTGCTGTATTTTGATGTTACTGATTGTTGAATTATGCTGTGTGCTGTTTTTGGACAGAAGAATGACATACAAATGAGACTAATACATATATACACTTCTCCCTTGAATTGTATGGCTCCAAGCAGTGCGGTTTTGGTTATATGAGGATTATTTTTGGCCCCTCTCCTGGCATGGTGGCTCCATGGGGCAACCTCCTCTGGGGGCAGGTGGGGCTGATCCAAAACAAAGTGCAGACGAGGAGGAAGAAAAAAGTCAGTGCATAATACACACACATTACAACAGATGAAGGACACAACGGCTTGATGCTGCAGCTGGTGGTGTTGACAGTGAGTGTGAGTGGCGGTCCCTGGGCGGAGGAGTGGGTATGTGTCAGAGTCTGAGCATCTGTGGGAGGCTGTTGTTGATGGAGGTTATACACAGATCCTGAACTCCATGGGAGTCCGGCACCCCTAACCCCAGCGCTGTCAACGGAAGAAGTCTAACTGAGAAGTAAGTACTGTATGTGCCATGCCTTTTGCTGCCTATTCTTAAAACACAGTTGTCAGATTCCTGAAAAACTGATTTGGTGCATAAAGGAGGACTGGAGAAGCCTGAGGTCCTCCACTAGTTGTTGCACTATAAATTACATCTGTCATCATCAATCACTGTATGATTATTATACAGGCATGATGGGAATGCTAGGTTAGAAACATCTGGAGATTCCTTAATATAGAAGTGTTCCAGTGTCTTAAGTGCGCCAATACTGGGTGTATTTAACCTCAGTCAGGATTTGAAGTCTCATGACGCAGTGTCAGTGTAAAATGATAGCTCTTTCAGTGAAGGAACTATGACGATGGCAAATTACAATTAAGATGCATTGTGAAACTAGGCTTGCTTATGTGTGCAGTTGCTTAACGTGAAAACAGAATCCAGTTCTTACCGTAGATGAACCTAAATATAATCATGATCTTATCCAGCATCTTTTCAAGTTCTTCGTCAGTAGCCTCTTTGTTGCCAGCCCGAAGCTTTGAATCCACATATTTAGCTGAGAGGTGGTGGTGGAGGAGAAAAACCGGGAAAGGGTGGGGGAAAAGAAAGAGTGATGAGATTTGAATTGTGTATCCCTGCACAGAGTAGGCTTGTGCTCTGCTGGCCCACTGTCAGTTCTAATAGATAAGAAGTGCAGCAGACATCATGCATGCCCAGAGACACTCTTCCTCCCAATCTGCTTCCTTGTCCACGAGGGACTGCTATATGCTTTTTATTGGGTCTTGATCACAGGCTGGTTCCAACCCAGTTTCCAATTCAGACAAAGGCTACATACCTCTGCCACACAAACTAAATTAAACCTGAGTTGAGATTAAACACAAAACCTTGTACAAGAGACCTATTATAGCACTTGTCACGACCAATGGAACTGGCCACATAGTCAAGCTGCGGTAGCACCTTTTGTAGGGGCATCTTGAAATACAGGTTCCTTGTTTGAAGTTCATTCCCCTTTCAAGTTACACCTGCCTGCCTTCCTCTGGATATTTTTCCATTTAACCCAGTACCATCTGTTCCGACTAGGAGCCATTCTCCTTATGCAAATTCAGAGGTTATTCCCTACACTTACTATCTGACCATTTCATTTGCTTATTTGTTTTTTGACCGGAGAAGCCAGGAAATTATTCTAGAAACCTCTGGGTGACAAGCAAGTGCTCTATACCACTGAACTGCCCAGTCACCCTCGTATTTTCCATTTTTTTTTCCTTTGGGGAATTAATGGCACGACAGAATATATATACCTATGAGTTCAGCAGGTTTATTTGGTCTTTTGTTGATGAAGGTTTCAAAGGCTTCTTTCATGGCATTGACAAACTTCTCGTTCTTCAAAAAGCAAATGTCAATTATATGATCGACTTTATCCTTGAAGTCTAGCAGTTCTTGAACCATGGTTTTGTCTTTCTCTGGATTAATTACAATGGTGCTCCCAAATGCCTGCAAAACAGAAATGTCATTTGTAACATGACACTGCTAACTGGAAGATCAGTCAAACAGCACAGAGTTTGTACGCACACAGGGTGCAAGATTGAGACCAAAGGAAAGTCCATGAAAACAGCTTTACTTTACACAATATTCTTCTGCTATATTACAGCCAGCAGCAAGACACAATATACACTGGACACTGACTCAATACATGCCTTGAAAGTCTACTTATTATTCCACAATACTTCAAATTTCCAAAGTAACCTTACCAAATATACACAGAGCAATAATTTTGAATTATACCTCAGCACAAAGTTCAAATCAAGCCTACGTATGAAGCTTCAGAACTGCCTTATATGCCAACAAACCATTCCACCAGGATAGACTGAATATCTCTGAATGCTTTGTTATCATGTCTGAGGGACAACAGTCAGGGAACACTCTGAGCCGGATGGGGAAACTCTCCTGACATGATTAGGCCTAAGAACCAGAAGTTCCCTTCTTATGGCCTTTTGTGACTGGCAGTGACTTTCCAAGGTCTTAGGCAAAGTGTCTCAGCCAAGCTATGAATTTTTAACATTAAAAAATCCTGGAGGCTAAACACAGGGTTTTTCTTTCTGCAGTCTGTGTGTTCAGCCACAGATACATGTCAAAATATTACTGCTACTACCGTGTTCCCATTACAATAAGACCTAACCTGAAAATAAGCCCTGGTATGATTTTTCAGGAGGTTCGTAATATAAATCCTACTCTTAAAAAAAAGAAGAAGCCCTAGTTAAGTGAAAACCCGCCCTCCACCATTGTGCAGCAACCAGAAGATGACATGACTGTATTTGAATAAATGTAGATGGTTGTGGTGG